ATATAAAATGCGGGTGAGTCAAAAATGATCCACACTTTGGCTGTAGAATTTATTTTAATCAACTTTATAAAAGACAAATACATAATCTCCTTGGTTTTTAATGCACTGTGTCCATCTGCCAAATGCTTTCTTATTCCCGCATTTAAAAATGTTTTAGGCTGAGCTGTGAGCCATGAATACACCACTGTCTTCACTTTGTCATCAGAGGTAAATCTTTGTCCTCGTAGGGCTGCTTTCAGGGGACCAAACAGATGAAAGTCCGATGGAGCAAAATTAGGACTATAGGCGCACGCTCAATGTTGTCATCAGCTGTGAACGTGGACAGGCGCCCGGATCCTTTTTGATGCCTAACACTTGTGCTGGGAATTTATCAAAACTGCAGCAGACAGAATCTGGAGCAGTTGCCCATAGTAACCAATCACCTTCCCTCTTTCGTTTTCAAAGCCTAACTGAACAAACTAAAGATAGAAGCTGATTGGTTGCAATGGGCAACTGCTCCAGATTCTGTCTGCTCCAGTAATGGTACATTTCCACCAAAGTCTTCGATAAATAACGGGACCAGACACAACCTCAGACCACAAAAAAACTAATCACTGCACCCTGCTTTTCTTTTGTGCAAATCACAAGTGGGGCATCCATTTTTTCTTGCACCGCAGTTACAAATGAACTGAAGTAACATGTTCACACCTGCACAGCAGTGACTGGGGAGACAGTAGCCTTGACTGGAAAGCGCTGATAAGACAGTGTGGCCAACAGAAGTTTTAATGTAACCGGAGTTTGGATACTTTTTGACTCACCTTCGTTTATATACACGTGTGTGTGTGTGTGTGTATATTACACTGTATGTAACTTTTGATACAGTATCACAAGATTAGAACCCACCGCTGTCAGGTTTTTATTGCTGTCTTTGTCCCTGCTGGGTAGATTCACCATATTATTCATACTGGTGACCATTCTCACAGAAAGTAATGGGAAAATGCAAACTTTGAGGCTGGATTCACACCACTCTCAATTTTGTCTTGTGTCTTGTGTCTCTCCAAGACAGGGAGTGAAGATAAATCTCCTCAACAAAACACAGACAGCAAAATATAAACCCACAAGGGGAGTTAACCGTTACCTACTCAATCCAAAACTAAAAAAAAAAGTTGGCTATAGATACACTTTAAAATGAACCTGCCACCAGAGAACAATTAATGACCTCTTCCTAAAAATGCTAGATACTTGGCTGTGGTTCTGACCCAGTGGCTTTAGCACGTTTCACATCATTGATCCAGAACAGGTATGTAGACAAGTAAAGTAAGAACAAAGTTGCAAGCCAGTGACTCAAAGTAAGGACACTTTTAGCAAGGTCAGCGTAATGGGAATGAGGCTTGCATTTTTATAATGAGGAATCAATTTTTTCAGCTTTTTTGTTTCTCACATAGCAGGTTTTTGTTACCCTTACATATTACGTTAGCCAAATGACTTTACAGAGTTATGTGTGTCTCTTTCTTTTATTAGAAGGATTATTCATGACGGAACCTAATTTTGCTGGTCTATCTATTCACTTTTAGAACTTTTTGTTGCTTGATGAGATTTCAAATCCAGCTGTATATCAGCCAGAGGAAAAAGAGGAAAGCCTGCTGGTACAAATTCAGGATCTGACATGTTACTGGGACAAGGTAAGATTTTTAAGGTGAATCTGAATGAGCATACCCCTATTAGTGTTTTCTCTCACAGTACATTAGCCCAGATAAGAAGATTAAATCCCTTATCTGCATTCACAAGAAAGGAGAGATCTTCTACCCTGTGATGGAGGAACTGATAACATTTGTGTATTGCTTTTATAATAAGGCCACAGTTGAAAACTAAATGCTGCATTTCAGTAAATAGATGTAATTAGATGGTTCAGAGTTGGGTGAGGCTTAAAGTGGTGAATGGAACCTGTTTCTTGCCGAAACATGCTGTTTATTCTTTCCTATTATAAATCTCTTGTGAAACTTCAGTAGAATGTTATTTCGAAGCACGACCTTCAGGCCATTTACAGCATTAATCCTTTTATTGAATGTCATTAGGTTGCAGCACCTTGAGACGCTTTGACAATTGTGAGCCTTTCCTTCTGATAATTGTGTTGAGGTTCAGCTGCCTTCAATAAGTCATTTCTGCCTGCTAACAATAATCTTTTTAAATCTATTTAGCCACATTTTGTCAGAATTTTAGGTACTGATAGATACCCCTTTATTATAAAAACACAAAAGAGTTTATTATCCATATTATGTATGTTCATTTTTCTTCAAAAGGAACCAGTAAAGCTGTTATAATTAACCACCTCAGTCAACTCATGCCTGCTTCATCCAGAAAATGTCTTTCAAAAAAATACCAAATCAAAGATGTTTATTGTTTTGACATAACAGAACACATTTGCGAAGGCATAGTAGCAAGCACATGGTTACAACATACAGCACGCAAATCAACGAGTGACAGAACTGTATTAGGATAGGCCAAGCTCAATTTTCAAGCAGAATGACAGATATCGCTGGTGGAGTAGACTCGCTAGTCAAACAGATCAGGTACATGTTAGGGTCCACATGGATATTGGGGGGCCCAACAAACTTACAGGGTTATAGGAAGGAAGTTGTTGTTTTGTGAGTCACTGCATCACAGAACCGCCATTCGCGCTGTGAGAAAGCATACTAAACCGCTGCAAACATTAAAGGTCGCGCCCAAGAAGGGCAGTTGGAAAGAAATAGAATTACTTTTTAAGAGATTTACTACCAGTGGTGTGTATATACCTGATATACTTTGATTTCCATTTAAAGTTTTCACAAATAAGAAACCAAATGTAAATATTTATACACATTTCATAAGAATAGCAGTAAATGTAGGCTCTTTATGGGTACTAAATATAGGATAATTGATTTCAGGGGGTACTTGGTAAAAACTATTTTAAAACCATGCATGATTTATTTCACTTTAGAACACTGAATTAGAATACCTGTAAGGAATTATTGAATGCATACAAGATAAAACCTTAACTCCACATTTGAACCATAATAAAAAGTGACACCATATACTCTATAAATGTTAGCATAATTTACAGCCTTCCAAAAATAGATGAGAAAGATTAATGCATATGAACAACTACATGAGAAAAAAAAATTGTTGCTAGAGGACAAAAAAAATGCAAATACATCATAATTTATCAGATATGCAAAATGTCAACACTTTTAATGTGCCAAATAAAGTAATACATAAACATTTATAACAGCCTGTCCCAGACTAACCTGTTTGTTTTTTTGCAATCAGACATCAAATATGTGAGTTAAACATTTCCAACAAACTATGAGGTTTTACCATAGTAAGACTGAAACACTTAAATGTGTTATTTAGGAATGGTTTTTGCTAAGTAAATAATAGTAACTGTGTTCACTTTAAATAGCCATTGAATGGAGAAGAGAGCAGGCTGGGGAGAGACAAGACCTGTAAGTGTATTTAAAGTAGTATTAAACTCTCAAACTTTTTATCAATAATTAATTCAGATCAAACAAATATGCATCGCCCAACAAAGCATTTCTTTACATTTTTGGTCAAGCACTTAGTCATCATGTTTCCAAACAGCTGCCTCCAACTCTCTCAGCCCGGCTTCCCTGAACCTCCTGTCCAGTACAAGATCACAAGGGGCAGAACAGTCTCCAGCAACTGTTCATCTACTAGCTTAGAGAAGGGAAGACGGAGGAGCAGGGAGTAGGGGGAACATCTTGCCTTGCTGTGCTTGTGTGTTTGTGGTGACACACACAGATTACTAAAAAACACAAGGGTGTCATCATACAAATGAAGTGAAAACAGCCAACCTAAAACAGGACATCAGGTCCAGTGCTCAGAGGACCAAATAATTCTGTAGCAAACTAAAACTTTTAAACATCAAGGGGCAGCATCCATTGTAAGTGATTACATCAGCATTTAAAGGGATATTCACAAAAGGGTGAAGAGTTTGGAGAATTTTGAAGAATCAGCTATTTTGTCCTAGATTGTTCACTTCTCCTGCCTTCTCCAAACTCTTCACCCTTTTGTGAATAACCCTATTACCCTTTAATATCACTTAAACTGCAGTAGGTAAAAATCCGGTCCTTTGTCTTTCCAGATAGGACTGTGCTGTGTGGCAGAGCTTTGTACATTTTAGAACTGGATAGACCGAAATACAAATCCTTTATAAGACAGCTCCCTTGTATGTATTTCTACTGTGTGTCTAGCTTTTTGGAGTTCTGATTTCAATTGTGAACAGTGACTTTGCAATCATAGTAATTTAGAACTGAATCTAGGAAGAATACAAATGAGTTACAATTAGAATTATGCACACAGGGGGCATGGCAAGCAGCTGAACAGTGCAGTTGTGGGGTAATTCAGTTCTACCTGAATTGTATGCCTACTGGCTGGTTGGTGGAAACACAGGTTACCCTTTTGCAACACTTAATTCAAAACAATGCTGTTATTTTCTATGAAACTTTGCAAGAATACTGCAATATTCCTTATACAGCTTTGTATAAATACTTACAACTAAGACATGCCTTACACTCTCAACTCAGAAACTCTAAGAAAGTGGTTTTGAAATATCCTCTAATTGCTGTGATTTAACACAAAGGCCATAGGGCCTCCATCAAAAATTATTTACACATATTTAATTCAGTCCAAAAGAAGTTTGAAGATATTAAAGTTAAAACCTGCTGGCATCTGAATCCATTTGTTGAATGCCATCATACCATATGAATGTATTGTGTACCAAATACATAGTTCTTGGCTGGGCCAACAACTCTGGGGGCAATGGTGTTCTAGTGAAAATACCTTGTGAAATATCACCATGAGATTGTTGCTTAAATAGTTATCCTGGACAAACACATAGCCTATGATTGTATAATCAGCTTTATTAGAAGCAATTCTGGGAAAATACAGACCGTGCCGGCACTACCATACAGGTAGCACAAGCAGTCGCTTGAGGGCGCTGGTGGGGGAGGGTGAAAAATCAGCGCAATCCATTCACAGGAGCAGCGGCATGGACGGAGCTCTGAGCTTCAGTCTTCTATAGTCTGAGCCCTGCCCCCGGCTCCCTCTGCTGTGTGCTCTCTCCAGAGCCTGCTGGAAGCCTGCACTGTCCCTGAAGCTGTCACCCGCCGGCACATTAACATATGAGAAGTACTAAATACATTGCAATGCATTTAGTAGAATGGATGTACATTTTTATTGCATGTCAATGAGCCGCGGCCCATTCATATGTAAATATGATATGCAAATCACAGTATTCGTGGGCTGCATGGCACTCCATGTACTGAACATAGTACCGCCCACCAACCTGAAGACTGCAAGAAACATGTATGTTTAAGTATGTGTATGGCAAGGCTCAACATTTCCACTCGCCTGCTTGCATTTGGCGAGTGGAAATGCAGTGCAGGCGGGTGGAAATTCTAGTCAGGCTTGCGGTCTCAGACCACGTACCTGACTCGTGGGAGCAGCTGCTCCTGCTGGCCTGTCTCCCTTGCTTTCGGCCGGAGCTCTTCACTGAGCTCCCGGTCGAAAATGAAGTGATTAGTAAGGTCTGCAGACCTTACTAATCACACTAGATCACCATGGATCTGCCTACTCGCCTCCCCTTCCCCGCAGAAAGACAAGCAGGCGAGGGGGTATTATTTTACATTGTGGGGGCAGGGAACAAGGGGAGGGGATTATGTTATGTGTGGGGGGCAGGGAACAGGGGGGATTATATTTTATTCTGCATAAACATGTAACAGTCTCATTTATAAGATTATTTAAGAAGGTGTGTTTAGGGGCGGAGTTAAGGCCGCGGGAGGGTAGGGGTCAGGTGGGCAACTGGTGGAGAGTAACTCTTAAGGCCTGGATAGTAGCTCAGGACTTGAAATTTTGACCCCTGGTGTATGGTATATACTTTTATTACATTGGCAGTCATTGTGAACAATTTCGTTATATTGGCGGTCATTGTGAACACTTTCGTTACATTTGCGGTCAGTGTGAATACCTTTGTTACATTGGCGGTCAGTGTGAATACCTTTGCTATATTGGTGGTCAGTGTGAATACCTCCGTTACATTGGCGGTCAGTGTGAATACCTTTGTTACATTGGCGGTCAGTGGGAATACCTTTGCTACATTGGTGGTCAGTGTGAATACCTCCGTTACATTGGCGGTCATTGTATATACCTTCATTTCAATGGCGGTCATTGTATATACCTCCATTTCAAGGGCGGTCAGTGCTGTTATTTATGCTATCTTTAGTGAAGATCTATGGGGGGTGTCCTTGTTATGGGGTGCTCCATGGTAATAGATGTGGGGTGTCAATGCCTGTGGCTTTACATATAGGGCTTACGAAGATGATGGTCAATCTTTTCCCAAATTCTGGATATGTTTAGTGTGAGCTGCTTCGTTATGCTTTTTGGAGTGGCACAATTTGGGTGTCTTTGTATTGGGGTCCTCCACAGTAAACTATTTGGGGTGTCATTGCTTGTGGCTCCGCATATACAGCACTAGTAGTTGATAGTCTTCCTTTTTTCTAAATGCTTCCGAGATAATTGATTTGATCTGTAACATGGATATCACAGATCTCATCTTAGTTTTGGAGAGCTGCTTTATGGGATGTCTTTGCAGGGCTAGCGCTACCATAAGACTGCTTGAGGTTGC